GAACTCGAAGCCAAACAGCAAGATCACAGCTCACCAACTCAAATCCCCCAGCAACTAAGACTAACCTGAGCACAACCAAGCCCCCACCTGAACAGAACACGCCTCCAACCAATCAGAACACGGCCAACCCCCCAACCAATCAGAACACAGCCAAACCCCCCACCAATGAGAACACGGCCAACCCAATCAGAACACAGCCAAGCCCCCACCCAATCAAGTCCCACCCCCACTAGCAGTTAAAAGGAAGAAGCAGCTGCAATCTCACATCACTCGGAGAAGCACAGAGCCGGAGACAGAAGCCTGAAGATGATGAATGAGACTTCATCGAAACGTTGCCTAGATACTTCGAATCTTACGCGGGAGAAAACCCGAACAACCAGATTGTTTAAATTTGAAACAACTGTAAAAGTCTGACTCACAGATGAACACAACATAGAAGCCTGATGATGGCAGATGAGATTCTGCCGAAACGTTGCTACAACTTTAAAAGCACAACTATAATGACGTGGGAAAATACCCGAACAAAGCTGAATAACTTACATGTAAGTACCCACGAAAACTTAAGAAAACAAATATATATTTATATCCATTTATCCATCCATTCTCTCTCTCTCTCTCTGTCTCTCAAGGGTCTTCAAACTTCGCAAGTTTAAGACTTGTGGACTTCAACTCCCAGAAATCCTGAACCAACATGACTGGAGGAAGAATTCTGGGAGCTGAAGTCCTCCAGTCTTAAAGCTGTCAAGTTTGAAAACCCCTGGTATAAGATCTCCTGTCTTGAGTAGGTTGGGCTAGTCTAGAAGACCTCGGGGGTCCCTAGAATTCTATGTTATAATCTCAATAAGGGCTGTTTGAATTTGTCTTGTAGAGTTGATTTCCTGGTATGGACTATCTAGTGGGGCTAACAAGGTGCACAAGGTTATCTTCCTGGGGAAGGAAGACACATTGGCTGAGATCCTGACCTACAACGGATCCGGTAAAGGGACAGCCAAGGAAAAACCTGGGTTGGTTTTATTTTTTGGCAAGTCCACAAAACAACCACAACCCCCAAAGAGCTTAACGTTTATGAGTTTAAGCATGGGATTGAATACGCATCATAGAAACAATCTTCTAATTTGGAGTTGATGAAATATATCCTCAGATGTCCTCCAAACTGAGATCATGTCGAGTTATCTGGGAAAGGAAATGCTACGCTTTAGTAGTGTGGATTGCAATTCCACAGCCCCAATTCCAAATTCTACACAGCCTAGAGACTCTCTGAAAATCCAGGAGTTAATTTATAACCTGCCAAAGAGCCACCGGAATTGATAAGCCTTCGTTGTAACTCTAAGAACAGGCTGTACCTACATCCCACGCCAGAGCCTTTCGAAACAAAAGGTTGTGTTCTCCAAAATAACCCCATTCAACCAGGGTGGATCTTTTTTTGTACATGAATTAGTTGGGCATCCAAAGCACTTAGGAGTTTACTTTGGGTTAGTTGCCTCTCAGTCTTAAGATGGCGCTCTCAGCAGAAAGTGCCATGGAGTAGAGTGGGGTGTTTGTATTTGTGTATGTCTCCAAACATGGCTACTTTAAGATTTGTGGACTTCAACTACCAGAATTCCCTGGGTCAAGTCTGGAGATCTGGCTGGGGAATCCTGGGAGTTGAAGTTCACAAGTCTTAAAGTTGCCAAGTCTGAAGACGTTTATGGAGATTCTCAGTCAACCAGGTTTTCCCCAAGGTGCTTTTTTCAAGAGGCAACTGGACTTCCTGTTTTTTATTTGAAGAGGTTCCACTTCTCCTCTAAGAAGCTTCTTCAGCTCTGACTGGTTTCCCCTGCCATTCAGTCAGAGCTGGAGAAGCTTCTTGGAGGAGAAGTGAAACCTTTTCAAAGAAAAACCAGGAAGTCCAGTTGCCTCTTGAAAAAAACACCTTGGAGACAAGTCCAGAGACCTAGGTGGGGAATTCTGGGAATTGGAAGTCCACAAATCTTAAAATTCCCAAGTCTGGAGACCCGACTGGGGAATTCTGGGAGCTGAAGTCCACAAATCTTAAAATTCCCAAGTCTGGAGACCCGACTGGGGAATTCTGGGAGCTGAAGTCCACAAATCTTAGAATTCCCAAGTCTGGAGACTTGAGAGTAGAGTGAAGTGTAGGCCTCATTGGTTCAGAGCCTAACCTCTCAAAGTTGACTTCAGAGCAAATCTTTCCAACTTCCTAGGAACTGTGGATCGGATTACAAGATGGAAAAAAGTAGAGCATTCTTGGTTTCCTCCAACCAGATCCCCCCAAACACTGTGGATCCCAAGAGAGCCACTCCATAACCCCAACATTCCTGCTTGGCTTCTTTGGGGGAGGAAGAAGATTGAATTCAACCAGGCCACTCTAGATCCTCTTCAAGCCACCTACTCCTCCGAGTTTCCAAGGGGCTCTGCTACTCCAGGGGCGGGGCTTCTCCACCGTGACGCAATTCAAACGGGCCAATCCACTCCAGCCAAGACTTTATATAGGCGTGAGGTTTTAGCAACCTCCCCGCAAGGGGCTTTAAAAAGAGCTCCATTTTGTGCGGGCCCGTCCAGGAGGCGGCGTGTTGGTTTGAAGGAGGAGGAGGAGTGTGTGGGGGGGGAAAAGGTGTTCGCCGATCGGGCCAGCCGCCCCCACCCCACCCTGTTGCAGCGCAGAAGTTGCGCCCGGCAAGAGAAAGCGAAAGGGGAAAAGAGAGTGACTTTCGCCAGGGAGGAGGAGGAGGAGGAGGAAGAAGAGAAGGAGGAAGAAGAAGAGGAGGAGAAAGGAGAAGAGGAGGAGAAAGAAAAGGAGGAGGAGGAAAAAAGAGAAGGAGGAAGAAAAAGAAGAGGAGGAAGGAGAAAAGGAGGAAGGAGAAAGAGAGGAGGAGGGGAAAAAAAGGAGGAGGAGAGCTGATATTGCTGGAGCTGCTGGGCGGCCGCTGGCGGCGCTGGAGAGGACGGCAGCCAGCAGAAGCAGCAGCCGCCGCCGCCGCCGCCGTGGCGCTAGAGCGAGGATGAAGCCGGCGGGGACTCGAGGCGCCCCCGCGGCCGAAGCAGCAGGAGGGGGAGGAGGAGGGGGGAAGGCGGCCGAGCTGGCGCCGATCTCCTCCGCCACCGCCGCCTCTGCCTCCTGCCCGGCAGGGGAGAAAGTGGTGCACTCCCGCTCGCAGGTGCTCTTCTGCAGCAGCGGCGGCGGCGGCGGCACCCAAGCTCTGGGCGACGCCTTGAAGCTGCTGCTGCCCCGCTCGACGGCCTTCATGAGCTCGGAGGCCGAGCTGTGGGACTTCCTCTGCAGCCTCCGGCACGAGTTTTCGCCGGTCATCCTCCGCAGCAAGGACGTCTACGGCTACGCCTCGTGCCGGGCCGTCGTGCCGGATCTGCCCGGGGCTTGGGCGCAGGAGAAGGAGGACGGGGAGAAAGAGGAGGAGGCGGGCCGGGCCAGCAGCAGCAGCAGAAGCAGCAGCCGGAGAGGAGGAGGAGGAGGAACCGCCGCCAACCAGGGGAAGCGCCCGCCGAGCGACGCCAAGAACCGCCGGGGTGGAGGAGGAAGCAGCGCCAAGCGAGCGGCCAAGAAGCAGCGCAGCAGCCACGACGGGCGCGACCCGATGCTCTGTGCTCCGGCCCGATGGACTCCTTCGCAGGGCAGCAGCCCGGAGCCGCTTCCCGATCCGGTTCCTCCGATCCTGGCCGCCTTCCCTCCTCCGGTCAAGGTGCGCGGCGACATCTGGAAGCGGCGCACCTTGGAAGCCGCCCTGCGCCGCGCGCAACGCCTCTTGCGGGTCGACCTGGCGCCGGTGGTGAGGTTGCGCCGGATCCCGCTGGGACCCACCTGCCGTTGACAGAGAGAGAGAGAGAGAGACAGCAGAGGATCTCGTCTCGTCTGCCCAGGGACACCCCCTCCTTCAGAAGACCTTTGGAGACCCATGTCCGGCCGCCTTGTTTACAGTCCCGGGGGGTGGGGGGGGGCGGGGTCGTTTTTTAAATTTTCCATTATTATTATTATTATTTTAAATACACGCCGGGCGCTGCACTTTAAAATGGCCAAGATATGGATTGGCCTCCCCCTCCCTCCCTCATCGTGGTTTTTTTCGAGCCAGGAAAAACAAACAAACTGGGATTCGGCTCGTCTGGAACGCATGGAGGGGGAAGAGAAAAGGAAAGAAGGTCAAGTTGCTGGAAGCCTTTGACTCTTTCTTTTCTTTCCTTTCTTCCTTTCCTTCCTTCCTTCCTTCCCTCCTTTCTTTCTTTCCTTCCCTTCCCTTTCTTTCTTTCCTTCCTTCCCTCCCTTTCTTTCTCTTTCCTTCCTTCCCTTCTTCCCTCCCTCCCTTTCTTTCTTTCTTTCTTTCTTTCTTTCTTTCTTTCTTTCTTTCTT